TGTCCCTTGGGCCCCGGCTCGCCAGAGTCTCCCTGCAGCACAAGAAGCCGCGGTCACGAAGGGGTGAGGACCCCGGGGCCCAGCCGCCGCTCCCCGGCCGCCCCCACGCCGCGCGCTCACCTTCTCGCCTTTCTCTCCGGGGAGGCCGGCCACTCCCGGGTCACCCTGCAAAGAGAGAGCCACGGGTCAGACGCGGTGGCGGCAGGGACGTGGAGCAGGGTGGGGTTGGCTGGGAAGGGGGGCGCTGGGACTCACCACTTCGCCGCGGGGCCCGGTCTTCCCTGGGGAGCCCTGGAGAAAGCGGGGAATGAGGGCTTTGGCGAGTTCCCCTCTCCAGGGAGAGGAAGGTCCCCCGAGGCCTCCCGACCCTGCTCCCGGCCACACCCCTCTCTCCAGCTCCGCCTCGCCCAGCCCACCAGACCAGACCCCGGGACCCGAAGGTCTGGAACGCTCAAGAAGGATTGGAACTCCGCCGACCCTACTCCGGACTCAGTGCCTCTTTCCCAGGTATTTCCCTGTCCCCTTGGTACCTTGTCTCCTTTGATGCCTGGCAAGCCTTGGGGCCCTGGAATTCCGGGGAAGCCCTGCTCTCCCTTAGGGCCCTGCAGGGAAAATAAATCGAAGGAATAAATCAAACGAGGTGCCCTGATATGCTCCCCACCACCCACCTGAGCTAGCCTGCACTCACCTGTCGTCCTTGAGAGCCTGGCTGTCCCACTGGTCCCCTCTCACCCTGGTCACCCTGAAATGGAAAGAGAAGGCCACAGCCAGTTATCAGCAGAGGCTGCCTCCCAGCCGTGCCCCAGTCACTGCATGGTCAGGATGCCCTCCATTCCAGCTGTCACCAGCAGGGGTCCCTACACCACGTCACAGACCAGCAAACCGAGACCCTGCCTGCGGAGGCCTCTCACAGGCTGGGCAGGACTGGGCAGGTGCTGGACCCAGCAGTGCCAGCTGCAAAAGGGCCCAGGAGAGGGGCCACTGTGCCAGGCACTTACCTTCTGTCCCATGATGCCCCGGGGACCAATTTCTCCTCGAGGCCCTGGCTCTCCCTAGGGAAGGAGACATTGGGAGTAAGCAGTAGGCCTGGTGGACCCTCCCTTCCACACCAGGCTAACCCCTCCCACCTTTGGATGTTAGCTAATTTGCTTCATCAGGGAAGCCTTCTCAGACCCCCTGTTACATTCTTTTGGGTCCCTGAACTTTTTCTTCTTAGGTACCAACACAATTGCAATTAGAAATCATGTGATCATTTATTTCATGTCTGTCTCTTCTGCTAAACCGTACCCTCCATGTGAATAGGAGACTGTCTACCTCAGTATCCTGCACAGTTGCAAGCATTTGGTTAATGTTTATGGAAAGAATAAATGAATGAACGAATCTACTTGGATTCTCAGCCCCCGTCAGCTTGGCTATCTGGGAAGGCCACACCACAGGACAAAACCAGCCCCCACCCTTGCCACAATGTACACAGGGAAACAGGGACCCAGAGAGGAGAAAGGGCTTCCCTGAGTGCACTGGTGCCTTGATGGGAGAGTCCAGACTAACCTAGGGTACTCCCTAAGTTAGGGCTCCACCCTATGGCCTCTAGGCATTCACAGCTAGAACCTAAAGCAGGAACCCTTGCATCAGTAGAGGGAGCACTCACCTCCTTCCCAGGGGGACCAGAGAATCCAGGGAGGCCCTGTGAACCCGGCTCACCCTGCAGGAAAACACAGTTCTCAGGTCAGTATGAATGACCCAGTCAGGCCCTTGGCCTCAGGGAAGCCCTATGAACCCTAAACAGAGTCTGGAACCAAATGAGATGGGGAGGGAGAGAGGGTGTTCTTGGTTAAGATCTCCGGGCTCCACTGGTTTTCCTGTGTTTGTTTCTCCTGTGGATTTGAAGTCATGCCATCCCATCTGCAAGGGACCAGGCTGGGGAATGTGGGAGAGGAGATGGCAGGAGGGATGTAGTTCCACCCAAGGGGCTTGTGTTGAGGCTGAGCTTCTGAGCCTTGGGTTAGGCCTAGGCCTTGCAGTCTTTAAGCCATGACCCAGCCCCTGACTCAATTCTGCCTCCAGCTTGGGGTCACCTCACCTGGTCTCCAGGGCCTCCTTTTGTTCCAGGTTGGCCTGGCACACCCTGCAGAAAGAAGTTGACATTCATTTCTGCCCTGGCCTAGGGGAGCCCCATGGTCCCGCCCTTTACCTCCTATCCCCAATCCAGATCCGCCCCCTTCCTAGAGAAGCTGAACAACAGCAGGGGTCACAGCATCATGATCTTGGCTGTACTTTCTCACCCTGGTGGGAGAGGGTTGGGACACAGAGAATGGCCTGCCTACCAGGGCCCGTGGTCCATGGGGAAAACATGAGCACGGTTATGTGCTCCTAAGGGCACAGGCCCACGTGAGCGCCTGCACATGTGCACAGATGCAGGCTTTGGCCACTCGGTACCCTTGCAGTGGGGGAGGGTGGACTCCTATGGACTAGGCTCCAGAAGGTACAGGAGAGAGAGGGGCCTGAATGGTGAGAAGACACAGAGGGACTAGGGTAGGGCATGCCAAACAGAGGGACTAGCTAAGGGGTAAAAAAGCCCAGGCATATGGAGAAGGGAGAGGACAGAGAGGGTCAGTGGCTGATGAGGCAGAAGGGATAGGGTGGGGTCAGATTAAGGTAGTAATTGGATGCTAAGATGAGCAGTGAAGACAAAGATCACATCTGTCCTGTTTTTAAGGGTTTCTCTGCCACTTAGTGTAATTCAGGTACTCGATAACTGCATATTGAATGACTAGATGGAATGACTTTTTTTTTTGGAGGCAATGGGGAGCCAGGGAAGGTGCTATAGCAAGGAGATGATCAGATTCCATCCAGCCAACATGGAGAACTGGAACAGCCAAAGAGAGCTAGAGTAACTGTCCAAGTGATGAGGCCTCAGTCAGGCCAGGGACCACAGAAGTGGCAATGAGGCCAGAAATGGCGATTGAGCAAGAGCTCTGGGTGTGTGGATCTTGACCTCATCAACCACTCATGCCATCGTGGAGAGGCGGGCGACACAGTGCCTGCACTCTTAGGCTGAGGAGGAGGAGAAGCCACTTGCTCATGGAGCAACCCCTATGTCTCCACCTGATACTTACCGCTAGGCCCTGGTGGCCCGGGCTGCCTGGCCGCCCCGCCTGTCCTGCACTGCCCTGGGAGAAACAGAGAACCAGAGGCATAGGTTACAACTCCAGCCAGAGAGACCATGGTTCCACCCAAGTGCAAGTGGGGAAACAGATCCAGAAACAGGAGAGGACATGTCTGTGACACACCTGAGGATCCCGGGTTCTGAGGCCTCTGGATGAGCATGAGGGGACTCAAAGCCCTGAGCAGGAAGGGGTCCTGCCCCTGTCCTAATTCCCCCACAGTTCCCACTCCTCTCCTACCTTTATTCCTGGTGTGCCTGGGGTTCCATCCTTGCCGTCGATGCCCGGGGGGCCCTACTCGGGAAGAGAGATCAAGGGACACTCACAGTGGGGCAATGTCTGGGGTCAGGCTGCCCAACCATGTTCCTCTGTGGCAGCTGCAGTGCACTGGAAGGGATGCAGTGGATCTGCTCATCTCAGGAAGTCTCTCTAGCCAACTGGGGGAGGGGAGCTAGAATGGTAGGGGTTAGGGGGATGGACCAGATCCTTCCCTATTGTGTGTGACAGAGTCCCAGACTGCTGTGAGTGTCCCATGACCTCTCCAACATCTTCACCCCTATCTCCATGGGAGAAAACTAAGGCACAGAAAGGGAGGCATTTCTCAAGGTTGCACAGCTAGCCTTCCCGCTGCAGAGTTCAGGTTAGAACCCCAGGCTCCTCTTCCTCTGGAGATTTAGGCAAATTAACGGACCCTGGTCTCTGTATGGGATGAGAGGACAGGGCCTCTGACACTTACGGTTGCTCCCTTGGGGCCTGTGATCCCTTGGGATCCTCGAACACCTTGACCGCCCTGCAAAGTGGACAGAGATCAGGTCACCTTCCTGGTGTTGAGCCCCTGTCCCCCTGCGCTGAGAACAGTGGCCTGTGGGTCCCAGAGTTCCTCTGACAGGCCACACTGTACAAGGGCTGAAGGAGAGGGGCTGGGAGTACCACTTCTGCCTTGGGACCAGCAGGAGGGAGAGAGGTCAGGCCAAGCAGCTGGGCTGGGCAGGAGCCAGGTGGGTGCCAGCATTCACTGAGACCCTGGCCAAGCCCCTGAGCTCCACTTAGTTAAAGAAACACAACAACCGGATGCAATGTGTGGACTTTTTAGGGTCTTGGTGAAAGACATTTGTGAGAATTGGAAAAATTGAACAGAGCCTGGTTATTAGATGATGTTAAGGAGTATTTGTTTATTTTGTTAGTTGTGATAATGATGTGATTATGTGAGAATAAGTTCCTTATTTTTTAGAGATACATACCAAAATATTTAGGGGTGAGATGACATGATGTTAAGGATTTGCTTGAAAACATCAGAGCAAAGCAAAATAAAGGAAGGAAGGGGTAAGGGAATAGAGGAAATGAGTATAGAAAAATGTTACTAACCATGGAACCTTCGAGATGCATATGTGGGGATTCATTACATCCTTCTCTCTAATTTTCTGTATATTTTAAAACTTGCATTAAAAAACTAAATAATAACAACAGCTAACTGTATTTTCTGCTTAATTTTTCTATAGACCTAAAACTGCTCCAAAAAAGTAGATTAGTTGTTTAAAAGAGTTAAGAAAACCAGGATCCAGACCAAATCCCATTAGCCCCATGGCTGATTTGCTGGAATTTCATTGTCTGGCCCCAGTGACCATGGGTCTGGATCCCAGGGCTTCTCCCAAAACCTGAATTTGGGCTGACTGGGCTCTCAGCACAGGTGATCTTCCTGCCAGCAATCACCCACATGCACACGCTCACACAGGCACGCACCGCCACAGGTGGAGCTGAGTTCTGCCCAGTGCTCCCAGGAGCCCTGACTGGGAAAGGGGTGCCTGAGGACTCACCACGTCACCCTTCTCCCCAGCTCGGCCTGGTGGCCCCCTCGGACCCTCCTCACCCTAGCAAGAAAGACAGACAGGAATCCAGGTCACATGGGTTCAGGGGGAGCTGCACTCCCTTCGCAGCTGTAGAAGTTCCAGCCTGGGGGTGGGGGCGGGAACAGGCTTACCGGTGGTCCAGCAGCACCGATGGAGCCCACCATGCCTTTATATCCACGGGGACCCTGGGAAGAGGAGAGGGCTGCCGGTTGGTCCTGGCTGGACCCCAGAGGCCAGAGGGTTGGTCCTGGAAGCTCTTGCAGGACACTCCCAGATCCACTTACCATCTCTCCCTTGGGTCCCACCATGCCCGGGTAGCCTCTGATGCCCTGAGGACCCTGTGAAGACAGAAAAATGATAGCAACGGCAATAGCAAGCCCCCTTTCTTGATACCGTCTCGGATTCCCCACCACCAACCTTCCAATGCCCTTTGAAATAGGCAGAATAGCCTCTAACTCAGAGATGGGGCATCAAGGCTCAGAGATGGGGAGGGACTCAGCAGGGTCACGCAAAGAGGCAGTGGCAGAACTTGGACCTCAGCTGGTCCTTCTGACTGGCAGCTTTGGCTCCTGTCCCCTAATTCCTGACAGTCAGACTCAGCCTTCCTCTCCCTATCCAGAGATACTCCCAGTTGGACACAGGTGTCTGTTTTATAAGCTAGAGGCCTGAGCAGAGGAATGACTCCATTGAGGACTCCTGGGTGAGGGAGAGGAGGGCCACAGACAGGAGGTGTGGCTTACCGGTGGTCCAGGGATGCCTTGCTCTCCAGAAGCACCCACATCTCCCTTGGGACCCTAAGGGGCAGGGATGGAGTTCTCAGACTGGCAGTGGAAAGACATGGGCAGATAAGCAAAGATATCATCCCCTCTCCCCAGCAAGAGCAGATGGAAAAGACCTCTAGAAACCATACAGTCCCATGTTACAGATGGGAAAATTGAGGCCAAGCTAGGAGATTTGCCCAGAGACACATTGGCCTAAAACATAGGCCTCCTGCCTCGCAGCTTAAGGCTCTGTCCCCAGAGCCACAGGAGAAGGGGAAAGGGATAAAGAAGGGGACAGCCTCTGGAGGACCCCCTGCACATAGTCCCCATCCATGGCCCTCATCCCTCACACTCACCGGCTTCCCCTGGCGGCCAGGATCACCCAGAACCCCACGCTTGCCTGGATGTCCCTGAAGGGAAGGAGAGAGCTCAGTATGAGGTGCCCTCCTGGTCACCTGCCACACCCTCCCAAGACTCAGACCGGGAGCGCTCACCTTCACTCCCTGCAGCCCTTGGGGGCCTTTCACACCCGCCGGACAGTTGGTTGGACACTGGAAAGAAAATTCCGCAGGGCCCTGTGGTCACTGGCCTGGCCCACGTCAGCTGGGCCACGTGTCCCTATCTTGCCAGCTCCCGAGCCCTCCTCCCTCTGCACTTTCCTGAAATTCTCCATTGCAGCCCTTCCTTCTCTCTCACAGACCCTGTCTCCATGGCTGCCCTCCCCTTGCCTTAGTCCTGCCCCAGACCCCTGCCTCTCACCAGAAAATCCGCGCTGCCTTCCAAGCCCTGGATAGTTCCCGGACGACCCTGAGAGGAGATGTGTGAAGATGGAGCCTTCACCCAGCCCAGGCTTGTTCAAAGGCCCCCTCTCCTTCCCCAGCACCTCGCCATGTGGGAGGTCTGAGGACACTTACCGGTTTTCCAGGTGGCCCCGGGGGCCCTGATGGTCCTTCTGGTCCAGGATCCCCCTGGATGCAAGAGGGACCCACATCATACCTCTGTCCAGCCCTTCCCAGGTTACCCCTGCCCACTTCTCCAGTTCCTGCCACTGCCCTGTCCACCACCCTCCAGGTCACCTTCTGAGATTCGCCATTTTGGGGAGATCAAGGTCTGATCAACAGAGGATGGAGCCAGCCTTTGGCCTCCCTAGAAGACCTACTGCAGAGGGGACTCGCTGTCCCAGACCTGGAAGAGCCCCTGGTAACCAGAAGCAGACCCAGAAACTCCCAGGGAGACCACCCTGGCTTTCCAACTTGGAGTCAGAGGGCAAAAGACCGAGTAGAGGGTGAATGGGGCTCACCTTGGGGCCTGGGATTCCAATCTCACCAGGGAGGCCGACAGGTCCAGGCGGTCCCTGGAGGGCAGAGAGTTCAAGGCTAGGATGCCTCAGAGGGTCAGCATGAAGGTAGAGATGGGCACTCAGAGTCCCCTTCTCAACTTTGACCAACCCCAGAGAGAGAGACAGACTGGAACTTCAAGGACCAAAGAATTCCAGAGTCCATGGATAGGCTCAGAGTGAACTGGCTCAGGGTTTCTGGCAGTTCATTCCCAACACTGCCAGACTATCACAGCAGGCCGGCCCCTCCCCCATGGTGGCCTCTCCCTGGAAGTCCTTCTACTGTCCCTTCTCCTAGGAGTCTCAGGGACACTGCCCCATCCCTGAGGACTTACGGAAGGTCCAGCGAAACCAGGGCCCTGGAACAAAAGGAAAGGAAATGGGTTCATGGCTCTTCTGCAGGTCCCCCCACCTGCAAAGTGTCCCTCAAAGCCCCTGCAGGTTGTACTCACCGGCAGGCCAGGGGGACCGGGGAGTCCAGGCTGGCCCTGCAAGAGAATAGGAGGGGCTCAGAGACTGGGGTCTCCTGGGTCCTTGCTTCTCTCTAGTGCAGCCCTTCCCAAACTCTGGCCCTAGATCGCCTGTGCTGAGTCCTCAGAAGGTCACTTACCTTGACTCCAGGGGTCCCCATGGGGCCAGGCTCCCCCTTGGCTCCAGTTAATCCCTGGGCAAGAACAAGAAGGTGAATCAGTGAAGGGCAGCTGACAGGGCAGGTTCAAGGACCTCTCCTGGGTGGGCCCAGGCTCCCTTCAGCACAGCCCATGAAGGTCTAGGGACTGTAATACCTTTCTTTCCTTTCGCTTTCCCTAGTTCTCATAGTAACCCTGGGAGGCAGGCAAGCAGGTCATCCTCTTTTGAAAGATGAGAAACTAAGGCCCGAAGACTTGGCTTCATGCCAGGCTCAGGCTTCATGCCTACAGTTCAGGAGTCTAGAAGACCTAGATATAGGTCTAGACTGGTCATTTGCTTGATATCTGGCCTTAGCAACTTTTTCTGAGCCTTAGTTTTCTCATCTGCAAAATGGGGTAATTGTTCATGCCTCTCCAGGTGGACATGAGAACCAAGGTGCTAGTAGAAGGCAATATGTTTGATAATGTTTGCATGTAACCTATGTGGACGAGTTTGGAGGGGGTCCTGGTGACTGGTCCTGCCCTGGTCACACTTCTTGAGACAGCAGGGCAGGGGCAACTCATGGGGGGAGGAGGGGCATCTATTTCCTCCCACTTTCAGTGACTGACTCAAGTGTGTCCCCTACCGGATGACTGCCCTCATGCCCCTGGGGTTGGTTGTGTCCAGGAGCCTGTGACCTTGAGGGTTCCTGAGAGCTCTGGGGTATCAGTAAAATGATATTCCTCTCCTGAATTGTGCCTGGGACTGGAGGAATGTGTGGGGAGAGGGGAGGAAAGGACGGGGCTCACAAGGACAGCCCACCCAACATATTCAGTCTGATCCCTGGAGGTCTGAAATGGGAGACTAAGTCCTGGCTGCTGCGGTTGGGCAGAGGAATCGGCACCCCACAGAAAGCAGAGTCTCAATCCAGACCCTGGTTGCCTGCAATTCAATGCTCCCAGGGTGGGTGTGAGGTTCCAGTGAGGTCACAAGTCATATAAAGGTGAGGAAGGCTCACAGCTGGAGATTCTCCTTCCTGTCCATCTCTGAACAGATCAGCAAAGATGCCAGAACCAGGCTTCAGAGGTCAACAGTCAGAGACCTAGCCTGATACCCAACACTCAGCTACTCACATCAATCCCGGGCTTTCCGTCCGGCCCATCTGGCCCAGCCTTGCCAGGTTCTCCCTTGGATCCCTTGAAAACAAAAGCAGGAAAAATGTTAACCAGAGGAAGGCAAGAACTGGAAGGGTCAGGTCAAAAAGGAAAAAACACTCACCAGAGGACCAGCTTTTCCAGGGGGCCCCTTGTCACCCTGCAAGACGCAAGTTGGTGAGACAGCAGCACACCATGGCTCATGCTACCCTGAGTGGGTACCCACAGGCCCTGGCTGGCTTGTCCAGGGACTCCTCTCCTCATTCCTGACCTGGGTCCCCTCAGCCTTTCACTCTCTAGGAAAATAACCCCTTTCCCTCAAAACAGAAAAACCATAGGTGCATCGAGACCAACCCCTACCAGGCTGGAGAGGGTGGCATCAACATGCCAGTGGGTTTTAGACATGCTGATGTTGCTCAGGTGCCAGTTACAAGACCTGAAAACGGGGCTGTGGGCTCCAAGTTACCTTGGAGGGCTGGTGCCACTTGGATGTGGGCATGTGGGAAGAGACTGGGGCTTTTAGAGAAACATGAAGGGAAGTGAGTGAGGAGCCCACGAGCTCTATTCTGGATTGTGGGTCAGGAATACAAGAGGCTGGGGTGGGGGCAAGGACCTGGGAGGCCCTACGGGGAGAAATTCAAAATGTCCCCAAGGAGGGAAGGGCTTCTTTCCCCAGTGACAAAGGACCCTGTGATGGTGGGAGGCAGGGCGGTGGAGTCAGATTCAGCCCCAGAGAGGCCTCCAGGCATTTCAGAGCCTGCAGCAGCCAGATCCTGGCGGGGACCCAGCATCCTGTGTTTGGGGGTGGGAGCACCAGGTTGAATAGAAGTCTGTCCAGACTGGTAAACATCAAGCTGACCTCCTGGGGGAGCCTCCAGAGCGAAGTAGTTAACCCTCCCCTTTGCTAGGGGGAAGCAGGGAACAAGCCCAACTGATTCTAAATCGGGAGAAAAAAAGCAACGGGAAGGGACAGGAGTCTGGCCCCAGCGGGCCAGCGGTCGGGTCAAGACTTCCAATCTATCCTGAAGAAGCGTCCAGACACGCCGGGGGCAGGGCAAGGAGTTAAGGCGTCTCCTACCCCACAGGAAGTGGAAAGGAGAGGAGGGGGATAAGGACTCGCTGTGAGTTGTGGCCGGCAGACCGAACAGCCGCTCCTTGTCCGGGCGGCTATAACGGGCTCTGCATTTCAGGGCTGGTTTGGGGTTTTTGCTGAACAAACGGCCTCCTTGTGGTGCGGGCAGACGCCGCCTACAGGCGCTAGGAGGCACTACGCCTCCAGCAGCCTCCTCCCCACCCCCACCTCAGCGCTCACAAAGTTCTCCTTTGTCCGCCGCCGCCCTCCCGCAGCGGCCCCAGGTTAGAGACTCACGTCGATGCCGTCTGATCCAGGCACTCCCGGCGGCCCCGGGGGGCCCGGGGGACCCCGCTCTCCCGGCGGACCTCTCTGAAAAACATACACAGGGCCGCAGCCCTCAGACACTGCAGGGAGCTGGGCGTCCCAGGGGCTGCAGGAGAGCCTGGGAGCAAGGTCCTAGGGGTGCACCGCCCTCGCGAATCCCGTTTACTGAGCACCTACTGTGTAGCAGGCACTGTGTACCATTACGTACATCATCTCGCTGAACACTCAGAACTGCGAGGCGGGTGCTATTACGAGCCCCTGTGAGCAGCTGAAGAAACAGGCTCAGAGGGAATCAGGGTCCTTGGCCACTGAGAGCGAGCGGCCTGCCCGCCCCCTTCCCCGGTACCCTGTCGCCCTTCACAGAAGGGACCGAGGCGGTGCCTAGCAGACGCCTGGCCCCCAATGAATGGCAGCTCGTGTTGTTCTTTTTCGAGGGATAGCAGGACTAGGCGGTGAGTAGGCACCTCCTCCTCGCTCCTGGTGAGGGAAAGCCCGACGGAAAGGTCCGGGAGGCGCAGAGAAAGGGGGTGTGGGGAGGGGAAGCGGTACATCGTCCTCCCCGGGGTGGTGCTCCAGCTCGGACCCAGGCAGGGTCCGGCGCACCCGGGCGCCCACACTTTACCCCCACCCTCCAGGCCGCCAAGTGCTGCGACCCGCACCCGACGGCGCCCGGGCCTGCCCCACTGGCGCCCGGG